GGATTCCTTTTAGAAAGGAGTTTTGTTTTATCATCTTTAGTGTATAAGTGGAAAACTGTGGGATGAATGTGATTATTATGAGCTTGTCGAGCTGGTATTACTTGGAAGATTTCATTTCCGGATGATACCTCTTGTCATTTCCATTTGTCACTTTTCCAGGACAATCAAGATAGCAACACATAGTGTATTAAATCAGTGATTCCTTCGGATATCAAATTAATGAATTTCAAAGTAATGATATGATGAGTATCACTCATCAGTGAAACAGAGGATTCAATAAGTATATTCAGCTTTGAAATTTTTAGCCATAACGCCGTGTTCATTGTTAGCAACGCAAGCATAAATCCCTTGATCACCCATGGTTGCTGGATCGATCTCTAACTTGCTCCACAACATATCTTCATCGAGTAGCTTCTCGTAGTGCTACAATTGTCGCTTTTCTAGAAGCTATCAGAAATAGAAATTCTTAGCTTTCTATATCTTTTGAAAAAACTTCAAAAATCAGATTTAAAGGGTTTTATTTTAAGTTAAAACTGATATGTGATATATCGAAAAAGTTCAAAATTCAAACTTTTCATAAAGTAGCAACACAGGAGGCTAATCTTAAGAGAACTGGAAAACCTCAAATCATTATTGTTCGTGAAGTTCTCTGTCTGTATTTAGTCCATTAAGGAATACTTACATGTGTATTCTTTTTTGGAGGAATTTCGGCTCCTTCCTTATACCATTTGATGGTCGGACGTGGTGTACCTTTAGCTTTACAAATTAGTACCAACTTATAACCCAGCCGGAATGTTTGGCTGAAGTGTGATCCGGTGACGATATGAGCACTCTGGAATGCAGTTCTGTTTAAGCTTTCAGATTTCTAGTAACATACAAGTCATGAACTCTTAAGTTATTTTGGTACATCAGTTTATTCGACTAACAAAACACAATTATATATTCTATCTTTGAATATACACACACCTTTCCCCTCATAAGTGTTATATCTCATTTGATTCATATTTTTAGTCCAATTTTTATATATGCATGGCGAACTAACACGGGCATTACTGATGTTTTGAAAAGCTGATGTTTCTTTACCTTAAAGTTTGTTGTCTCTAGTTGGAGAAAATAAACAATGAGATTTGAAGTTCTTCGTCTTCCGACTTTTGCTTTGTTGCACTGTTTTCATGTTTTTAAAAAATTGAGATACTAAAACAAGAAATAAGGGCGGACAACGACATATCAAATATCTTGACAAGAGTAAATTCACTGTAAAAATGAATTGAATCTGATGAGTTAGTTAGGGATCGTTGTGATTCCTCAAAAAATATTGCTGAAGTTTTCAAATAGTTGAATCAGACAATTTACACTTCTTCCTATCCTCGTAGTTTATTTAAAACATATTTGCTGCATAAACTTACTTTACTGTCAGGTAATTGCGTGTGCACCAACGAGAATTCGGCAACTTGTGCAAATTGCAGGTTACTTTTGCCTTTACTTTTACCGGCGCGACGACCACCTCGCGCTTCCAGTACTCCGACGAACGCTATAAGCATTAACAGCAGAATAATGGTTTTGTTGAATAAAGCGAATTGCATGGCACGAATGCATGTTGCGCCTTCCATATTGCGTTACGTGCATCCAGCTTTTCGACGCTTTTTGACCAGGTATTATGTTTTCGTTAAATATCAACACAATTCTATAAAGGAGAATTTTGAAGATGCATTGAGGTCCAGCAGTTTGTGATAACACTTTTGCTTGTTGTAGCTCAATAAGTATCTCTTGAAAACATTAACTTGGTTAAGATGTATTATTTGAAATACAACATACCTCTTGGGCCCCTTGCTACACCTCTCATAAAATATACCTCTTGCCTTGCTATGAATGGAAGGAGCGTTGGTGCAGGGTATGTTGCTTCTTCGACTAAATATTCGAATATTCTGGATTCTGCGTCTTAAGGTTGGCAAGAAGTGTGAATAAACATAAGCATAAACATCTTCGCTAAAATAAATGAAGAGACGGAGGACCTCAAGGTTAGCGCCATGTGGATGCGTGAAATCGATTGCCTTTATGTTTCTCGCGTCTTTCAACAATTTAATTTTTCTTGTGCTTACAGCAGAAAGGTGAGGGGAGGTTCACTATGCCCTGAGAAAATTTAATAGCCAGCACTTCACTATGCCCTGAGAAAATTTAATAGCCAGCACTCTGAAGATGCAAATATAACTTCTTATTCCAAAGCTGTGTGAAGTTCAACTCCTCGATTCATCATACAGGACATCATTAGCTCATTAGCTTTCCAAATTGTTTTGCTTCCTGAGCTATGTTTTAAAACTGATTGATTAGTAAATTGTTAAACTTATTATCATAGGCTAAGGAAATATGAGCTTGAGTAGCAAATTTCTTCAGAAGGGAACTTCGGCAATGTTTGCGCAAGAAAAATATCGGTTTGGCAAAGAAGATTCGTAATCGTTCACTGCGTTACAACGTTCTGCCTCGGGCAGCTCCTTTCCTTTGTTCAAGATGTGGCTTTGCAACAGCTGCGCTGAAAAGAATTGAGGAACATGTATGCATGAAGAAAAACAGTTCGGTGAATGATCTTGAACGAGGTCTGTCCAAACTAGACAAGGACGGACTCTCAGAAATAATATATTCTCCGTCTTTGATAAACGTCAGAGAGTGATGTAAAAAATACTTGTACATTTGATCTTACCAACTTATCTGCACGAATTGTTCCATTTGTTCTAGACATGCTTCTGCCCAATTCTTTTTTGGAGGTATTTGTGGGACGTGTGTATTCATAATACCACGCAAATTTTGGTCCTCAGTACAAATATGGAGTTTTGTTCTATGGTGTAGACAGGGGTTCCCAATCTTTCCTTGATCAGGGAGCATTTGGTTTTTTATTCGTAACAGGGAACACAAGGCTCGAAAATAGTAAATTCTGTCAATTTGAAAATAAACTTCAATCAGAATGTTTGATAACTAATTTATCAAACACTGATAAGAACAGCCCGCTATTTTTTACTCACCGCGCCGCCACCCTCGTGGACCATGTTTTAGTTTTCGCGGACCACCGGAGACCACTGTCTATTACAGAGTATTATAGATGTAGGTAAGCTAACCGAAAAATTGTTTTGTTTTAGACATGAAAGTTGCGCAAATGGCTGTGCGTAGTAGGTGTAAAGATGCAATGGCAGTACTAGAACGGATACCAAATCCGCAGTCGATCCGACTTCCTAAGTTTCGTATCCTCGAAAGCGAACCTTCAGAAGAGGTGTGCAAAATGGTTTCTTTGAGGTAAGTTCAAGGTTCTTCTTTTCTTACTATAATCCCAGCAAAAAGTTTGCAGATTGTCTTTACTTAGTACATGTACCCATATATATGCGGTATGTATGTCCATTGAATATCATGGTCTATATCAACTGAACTTCATTCAAACCGCAACAGCAGTTACGGTCAATCCCTAACGGGGAATGATTTCGATCTAAATTTTCAAATTAAGCAGTTTCTTAAACTGCCTTGCCGAAGGTTATTTAAGGACTGAATGAATATTCAATTCCTATTGAACATTTTTTGCCTGACATTTCCCAAAATGAAATGGATTTCCAGCACTTCACTTCATGACGCATTACCAAAGATCATGAGTCCGGTAACATGTTGTTCAAATGACGAAGGAGTGCAGAAACGCTCAGGAGATAATTCATCCAAGCAGAACGTAAAAGCAGATCTTCAAATGGTCCTTCATTACAACTGTATTTACGATGAATATTTGAAACGTGATGACTCTCCGATAGATTCACTTAAACCGGTTCTCGCTGAGGTATGCCACGACTAAAGGAGAATGTTATGAGTCTTCATAATTGCAGAGATTGGGACTTGACAGAACTGAAGACTCACATCTCCAACGTTATCAAGTGGGACGTCACTATGTCTTCGTTTTCTTACCATCAGCTCGTGGTGTGAATCATTTTTTGATTAATAACAATAAGTAGTGATGGCAGATAGAAACAGTTATATAGAAAAGAAATTAGTAGCCTCACACAATAACCATGCATTATGATTGTGGATTGTGGATGTGAAAATTTGCTTCTTTTTCGAATTTTTAATTCAAGGACTAAAGAAAGCCGGATTCGTTGCTCCTCATTTTTGATGTTCAAAAACTTATTTCTAATTTTCGGAATTTTCATAATAATTTAGTGATAAGAAAATTTGACTGATTATACTATTTCAAAATCAGTAATGAGATGGATAGTTTACAGGCTTCTGTAGACTGTACGATGTCGGTAGAGCGCAAAATGGAATATCGAATTAGCAAATACTATGCTGAACAAATGCTGAACTTGTCTTGCACAGCATGTGAGACAAAATCAGATAAATTTGGAACATTGGGAGATTTTCATGAGCACATCATGAAGTGCGGAAAATGTCGTAGGTGATGCTGATAATGACCCACCAAAAATAAAATTTCCCGTAGCTTTTTATTGTGTTTTTATCTTTTCATGGCTTTTTTGTTGCGTTTTTATTTTGAAATGAATGGATATTTTAATGTATTATTGCTCTTAATTATATTACTTTCCTTCAAAATATATTACTCTCTTCCATGCTATTGTCATCACTACACTCTTGTTAATGTGTGTAGGGATCTAAAATTATCCATCTGTGAAGAGTATGTGGATTCGATAATTTCTGATGTGAAAAACATCAAGTACTGGCTAGTGTGCTTACCCTTGCACGTTGGTCAATTTGTTATTATTGCTGACAGTTCAATCAGTCCAAGAACTGCCAAATGCAAGCAATTTCTATTGCCATTTATAGGCACATTGTGAAGGATTCACGATTCGAAGAGTTAATGACCACTGCTCTTATATAATCACCAATGGAGAAACTCCTAAATTCTAAATTCATGTCATTCTATACTTTAAAAATTCTAAACATAGCAGAGGAATATTAAGAAAAACGAGAAGAATCTGAAGTTTCTCGCGTCAAATATCTTTTCTTAGATGCTGTCAAAATTTATCTACAGGTATTGTCAAAATACTTAATATTATGACAGTTCGCACTGTTTCGCAGCATACTGCGTCTGTAAGTTCGACATCTGTTGACAAATTGCATTTTTCAGAAGCACGTTGAGTAAATTGTGAGAATAATCCATTTCTTGGATAACTACAGGTGGGTACGGATTACCTGAAAAAAGTTCCATATACTAAAGACTCACAGGGACACAACATCTGGAAGATTTTAACTCCGACCACTTCTCCCTTTCCTTGCCAATAAAATATATAATTAACGTTAGCTCATATGTGAAGGACTTATGAGCCTAAATTCAAGCATTCTGACACTTCACCAGTGAAAATCGGAAATAAGATAGGACAAATACCATTTAATTCAATGACTCCTCTATGATAATGCCCTTCGCTAGGATCGTCCTGAATAAAATGTAACGATGTAAATGGGCCTGAAAAATATTCTTCATTACTTTTTCACATGAACAGATATTTGCTGCTCTTTTTCTTTCCTACTCTCGAACAAACTTTTAAAATCAAAATGCAGTCATGAAAAACTGCCACACTTCAGTCACATCGTGATGTAATCAATAATGAGCAAACTTTTACTAGCATCACTACACTCGCCCGAAGTGAAAAAGTTCTTCGATCGGTAGGAAAAATAATTCGAAAAAGGGAAGACCAATCTTATTCGACTTGAACCCCGTAAAGCACTTTAAATCCTCCTGACCTTCCCATATCTATGTCTGAAACGTAAACGTATGTCACAAAATTCAACTGGAACAAAAGATATCGAACAAAACCTTCTTTTTCCCGAAACCGAGGGACATATACTTCGAAAAACTTCTCACGTATATCACCGTCCATTATCCACCAGTCCACCATTTCTTTGGTATACGTGTCTTCAGGACCACGAAGTATTCCAAATTGAAGAAGCTATAAAATATTTAGGTCACTTTCATCATGTAATTACAATAAGCGTCAAACCTGAATCTGAATAAATATTCAGAAAAAAGTGAACTTCAATAAAGCGGCAACCCTTTCAGCGTAAGGACGAAGCTCCACTGCACGGTGGAATCGAAATTCTGCTCGCTCTTCACGAAATAAAGTGCTACACATCCGCCGCAGGATCTGTAATAATATAAGCGGATAGCTCAATCAGTTGAAACTTCACCATGCAAAAGCATGTGGGAGCTGTTTCTGAATAGCAGATTTTCTCCATATCAAAGGCGTTCTGATGTTACAGCTAACTTCAATTGAAATGCATTAAATTAAACAAATTCAGTAAGGAAAACTTGCTTCGAGACGAGCTCGCTGGAAATCTAGTCGCGGTGATTTCAAACGTTGAGGAATGTGCCCAATTTTCACTGCTTTTGGTATCCGCGGCAACCAAGTCACCGTCCGTGATACTGACATCCCGATTTATAACGGTACTTTTGGGAAAAATCTACCACAGAGTGACCTATAATACGCAGTAAAACACTAATTTCTTTCACTTAAAAAGCATTGCACAACCCATATTTCCAACACTATACTTGAAAGCTACAGGACTCCGTGAACCGAATATTGGAAATTACAACTTGCTTGAGTTCCACCTTTCGATGATATAGCTCTGCAACTTGTTCGACTCTACCAGCAATCAGTATCGCCGATACAGGGAAGTATCTACACAGCTTTAGTCATAATTACTTCAGCAGTATTCTCTCAACTACTCCTCATAAACGAAGGCTTGCGTCAACTACTTTGACCGACTACACAAGTCATTTGTAATGGATCACTTCTAGTGTTGCCTATCCGATCTTTTTACAGTAGGTTCAACACATACTTTGTAAAGTGAAGAATCTTTCCGAGTATGTGATATACCGAATTATATACCGAAGTATGTGATACACCACTTCTCATATAGGTCAACCTCACAAACCATCATATCACGATACTCTAGTTACACCCATTCTGCAACCCACTCAAGAAAGCAAATCCAATCTGACCCTTACGAACTTCCAAAATCGCCCACTTACTGGCAGATAATGCAACTGTTTCGCTTCCCGATGACTCGCTCTAGTATACTACATACATATAAACCCACGCCTGGTGGGTCGCATCATGTAGCACTTCCGATGCTCACTCAACGTCGTCATATGGACCGGTTCAATCCAGTTATGGAAAGCAAACACTGTGGAAACCCATGTCTTCAATACATTATAACATTTACTAAATCACAATGCACCTTGAAAAATATTAGAAATACGGTTAAAATACTGAAGGTAATGGAGCACCAGAAAATTGGAATGGTTGAATAATTGAGAACAAGAAAAATTGCGAAGTGAGATTAGCGAAAAAGAAATGGCAAACTATAGTAAAATTAAGCATTACTTTGCCTTTTTCATGCTAGTACAAAGTAACAGAAATAAAGATAAATTCATGAACAATAACATGACCATAATGATGGGCAGAAATTCAGCAGAGGCACAGGAAAATAAGACAAGACTCGAATACAACACCATACATCGAGTCAGTCAATTAAAATGTTATATTATTGTTTTCTGCTCGCAAAATTTCTAGAGTGAGAGAGAAAACTGGACATTCGAGAACAATATTAAACAATGACTAAGAAGTAAGCTTCTTTAAATACGAAAATAATACAAATACAAATCAAACAATAATTTCAAAACTTAAAAAAGGAAAAGTCGGAAACTTTGCCACTCGTCACTATTTCATTCCTACTGCATCCTTGCTACCTTTCAAAACTCATAATGCTTAGTAGGATTTGACCATGCAATCAACTGTGTTCAGTGAAACATGATGAAAAACTATACGAGCTGTGTTAGAAATAGATCAGATGCCAAAATATAGCGCTATCATTCCGAATAAAACAGTGCAGAATAATGGCAAACATTGCAATAAAACTTCGCAGCAACATATAAAAAAAAGACTTAAAACGGTTTATTTGTTCCTGGGAAGAAATAGAAAGCCTTGCGCAGCCTGGAGGAATGGTCAGGGATTTGCTTGAAGGAACCGCTAGAACTTTCGAAGGCATCAGCTACCTGCTTATTCACCTGCAAAGCACATCAATAACATCAGTAATACGACATGAAAATTAAAGATATATTATCAACTAACCAATGTCAGCATCGACAAAATGTCGGTGGATTTTGCATACTTGGCAAACACTTCACAAATGCTTTGTATGAACCAGCTGCCTTTCATGGAATTGCGCCACGAAACATACCCTGGAGTAGTTGCATAAGATACCAATATGTCGGCTTCTATCGGTGATCTAAAATTCAGAGATCACTATTTCACTAGCACCTACAAGAAGTTATGATCTGCCAATCAGTAACATTACTTTGTCTTTTGCTCCGTTTGTAAACTTTTCTGAGACTGAGAAGTGGTACAAGTAAACCAGCTATCGAAATATCCATCTGGTCCATCCGACTCTGTGCCAAATCCACGATCGTACTGCTCTACAAACAAGTTATATATATACGCGTCAACAACCAAATCCCATCACAATTTGAAATAGAACTCACGTCCTCTACAGGCTTGCAAGAAGAAGAGTTTTGGCTTATAAGCTAGAGCCGGACAGTTTCGTGCATTTAGACAGGAAACAAACTCTAACACCGATATAGCGATATCATCTGTCCCATACAGTTCACCATGTTCACCATGTGTCAACACGCAGACAACACAAGAATCCAAGCGTTTATGTTCCGGGTGTTTGGAGAAATCTCGAATAGCAATAAGCATCTCCTTTAAACAATGAAGATGGACTTTTTGAAAGAAAAATGAGATCTATAATCCAGCAATTGAACACTTTGAAGACGTCCTAAGTAATTCATTTTTCAAAAACTCCTCATGGATGAAAAATATTACCTTTGCACACAAATTTCGGTAAACCAAAACTGTGTAATTAAGTTGCCGAAAAAGATTGTTCAAATTAATTTCGTCAACGTCGGTACCAATTCTTTCCGGCATATCAAGAAAATACCGGTTATTGATAATTAGCACCACTCCACGGGGTGATGAGAAATTTGGATACATCTAAAAATAAGATATCAAAGACTGCAAAAACAAGAACTTTAAGAACTTAGTTATAATAAAATATTTACTGCTTGTTTATTAACTTACTTTGATTTGTACAACTGGCAGTGCACATTTCCTAGTGCTCTAACTACAAAAATATAAATACAAAAAAAAGTTCCGTCTGATACCTTAAAACATGTGCAGAGCGTAGATAAAATGTGGAACATGACTTCGTCCTTTTATCTATATGGTCCTTTATCAAAAGAAGGCACTACTTTCTTCATGGTAATCAATGGTTAAAAAATATTCTTAAAAGTTACGGGAACTTTTCTAGTGGCTCATTACTAACTACTCACCAAATTAGCATCAAAAGATGAAAGATCTGCAGCAGTATCAACGAAGTCCACCACCAAGTCATGGAGTATACCAGCGGGCTCACGCACTATAATTAAAATAGACTTTTAAAGAAAATGATTCGAAAGAATATTCGTTCTAAATTTGTTGTAATTTGATAATCGTTCTTTAGATCAAATAACTTACTTTTTATATACTCATATGATTTATAGTACGAACAGTTCCTTTGAATCGTTGCAGCCGTCGGACTATGACAAGCAATGTTTTGACAATTTTCATCAAGGGATGGGCTGCTGTGCAAAGCTGACCTCAAAACCAACGGAAGAAAATGGAAAAAGTTTCAAATCTGTTAAGAAAATAGAAAGAAGTCAATATAATAAATCCTTCATGAAACAGAAATTCTCTATATAAAAAAGGCTAATGCACACTGAAAGATGTTTGAAATTATCAAAAAATGCACTTTAAATATATCAACATGTTTGCGAGAGCTGAAATTAAGCTCGCACGATTTCAGAGAGAGAGAGAAAAAAAAGGTAAACCTGACTGGTAATTGGAAGGACAACACATCACAACACGTTATATTTTGATAAAGTGTCAAATCTCAATAAAAATGGTTGAATATGTTATTTCAATTTACTACCTCAGCGTGCCCATCTATCTCACAAACAACGACACATCTGCGCAGCTGGTGACTTGAACAATACGTCACATTATCTTTCATTTTGAAAAAATGTTAAATTTCAGTGATCGGGCAAAGGAATGCAAAATCTGTTACCTATATTCAATCCCTTGCCTAAACCTGTCCTTGTCCTCACTGCTTAATCCGCTTTCCATCAAATGCGCCAAATATCTAAAATTTTGTTACCCATAATTCCTTTTCCCCACAACAATTACAGTATTTAATTCCATAAACTAAGTATAAAACGAACTTTTTTGAATTATAACTATGATCCCAAAGTTTCCTTAAAGATTTGCAGCCCAAATCAGTCTATGAACGCATAAGAGGGATTCGCATACCCTTGATTCGTCTTTAGGAGTGACTGGTAAAATAGAGAAAAAGCTGCATCTCCACGCATCTTCAGCTGTCGTATGAACTGGTATCGTTGCATAGCCGCAGTGGACTCGCTCTATAATTACAAAAGCAAAAAAAAAGTGGCAATATTTTATGAGAAATCTCCATCATTTTCTTCAATATTTTATGAGAAATCTCCATCATTTTCTTCAGGATCCAAATGTAGAATGTAATGTGTCACAGTAACCTTGATGATATCAACAATATGCTCATTGAAGACACTGTTGGCAAGAAGGAAAACCATCACGTCATCTAATTGCAGACTTCGTGTCCACGTATCCAAGTGTTTGTCCAGCAATCGTCGACGTTCTGTAGTCATGACAGTATCCTCCATCGCTTCTAATTTTTTTTTTTTGGAATTTAATTAGGTAAATAGAATACTCAAGGCTTCGTAAAATTACGGAAGAACAGATCACTAAATTTCCAACGCATTCCAAAAAGCATTAGAAAGGAATTTCAGAATGAAAATCTACACTAGTGCCGAACAGATGAGTGATTAAAATACATGACCGCCTTCATTCCTCACCTGTTCCATTAGATCTTCTTGTGGCTCAAATTTTTTCCGCAAACAGTTTTACTTTACTTTTCTCTTAATGTTTGAAATTAGCGATTCCGTTCCCATTCAGATAAATGTCGGGTAAGTATTGGCAAAGCTTCAGGGACCTCTCATTTCTCATTATCTACTCAGAAGACCAAAAAAGAACAAGGAAGGGACAGATGGGATATGAGCATATCTCTAACAAGCAGTATGCAAGAGCGCCTCTTCCATATTGCACACTGTCCACTCATTATCGATCAAACAGTGATATTAGGACATGAACGGTCACTCACCGAACTCACCATAAAAGAAAAGGAGGGGAGGAGGAAGACGAGTCGACCTCCCATTCTCTTACCACAAAAGTTTAAAATCAAATATGAAAGTGGATGTACAACAGAGTACTGCATTTCCTCCTCCCTTTAGCTATACATAAAACGTAGGTTCGATCGGCTAGATAAAGGAAGTGATGTTTGATGTTAATCTGAAATGTTTAATTTAATGAGGCAAGCAGACTAGCCATACAATTCGTAGAATGAGCGTTCGCACAGGTGACACTGTTGGATTGTTGCCAGTTGATGTTCCGCGTGGTGGGCATAACCTTTGACATCAATTTGCATGCTTCTATGCAATAATACTCAGTTTTTACTTCTACAAAAACTACGAAATGAATAACAGAAGGGATATTGCGATTAAACAGTGACTGATTTAAAGGATTCGACTATTAGATAAATTGAACTCATAGGGTTTGCGAACAGATCAAATAGGAGAAACAGCGTCTTGGAATGTATGTGAGATTCGATAAGAAGTTGGGTAGAAACCATAATAAAGTGTAACACAAGATGAGTCATTCGTTAACAGTACATACCAATGCCATTTGGTCAGCCTTACTCCTGTCAAATTGTTCTTGATTTCTGAAGTTTTTGCAGTATATTATAGCCAAGAGAAGATTCGCAAGCTGATGAGTGCTTATGTCGCTTCTGTAGTATTCCTTCACTCCAATTCATCTCACTAACTTCCTATCATTCATCGCTCATTTTACTGACCGCTCACTCTCGTTATGTACAGAATAATAGTCTCCCTGACAATATGGAAGCAAATGATATTCCGTACAACCGAAAGGGTGGGAGCCTTGTCGATATTTCCCAAATGAATGTTTAGAATACAAATGACTCACTTCATCGGTGTGCATGCAATTTATGCATCACTGCACGCAACTCAACTTTACATCAGCCAATAAATGGTACTATTTATCAGTCCTCCCCACTCATCACAATTCTTCCAAAATAACAATTTGAAATTTCGCGCGGGAACCTGCGAGTATTCTTTGTGTTGCAGCTTAGGTACTATAATAAGGAAGCTTGCCAAGAATATCGATACGGTAGGTTCCATGACAGGTCAGTCCCATGTTTGGGAGCTCATGAAATAGGCGGAGGGGAGGGTATTGGAAGGGAATGCTTGCTACATGTGTGAAATAATTTGCTGTATAAGGTATATGCAGCGTAATGACTCTGCTTGGGAAGCGCGGTAGTCTAGATATCCCGATATACGGGGAATTTGTAGCTCATTAACGCGCGAATTACTAAATGAACACTACTCTCGAAAAAATGATTTAGCTCAAGGAAAGCGTTTTCTAAAACTTCCATTTCGAGATTTGCATTCATTATTTCAGATCTAATCCACATCCAATCTGAAATTCCCTTTAAATATGTTTTTTTAATTTTAGGTTGAATCTCTTTGAAATAAAAATTTGAAAAAATGTTGCAAAACCGCTTTCTTTATTTGCGGGACAATGTGTTCTCAATCGGAATTACTTACAGTGGGAGCGCATTACCTAAAGAAGTGTATTTAGGATGGCATATTCCTCTCCTCCTTCTCTTTCTTTCTAATAGATATATAGGAAAAGGCCTAATTAGTAGCAAATATTCACGGATTTTGCGAAGAATATTTTCGTCAGAAAATTTACGAATGTTAGTTAAGTCTTTTTTCACATATTTAATTAAGTCACTATGTTGATGGTTAATGACACCGTCTTCCCTTAAAAATCTTCTGGTGAATGAATGATTCCATCCTACCTGTTACAAAAGTTGCTGTTCAAAGCTTTTTATCCTTTTCAGCACGTCTGTTAGTGTCTACATATATTTACAGGACTAATCCACATAGTAAATGATCTTTTCGTCAAAGCCAATTGATGCCTGAACTACCGGCAGTCAAACGTATCAGAAAGAACGATGAAGAAATTGAGCAGGATAACAAGAAGCGGCTCATCGTTATCATCGAGAAATGCTCGTTGGAGAGTGCGAAGGTTACGTATTTTCAATAGCTACAAATATATGCTGCTTTTGCTTCCCAATGGAATAGTTAAGACAAATCGTCAATCAAGTTTAAATTGAGCGCTGTTAATTACAGATCATACAAGATAGCATTATGTTCATCTTTTTTTCATCTGTTACTGATCTTCTGGATTTGAGCCTTCCAACGGAAGTATTTCTGATTATTACTAATGAATTAGTTAGTTTCATTAGCGACAAGGCAACAGTTATTGGAACTAGATCTTTTTCTTGTTTTGATATTTGTTGATCCGATTCATATTTTTTCAGATAGGCAAGGAATACGTGATTCTCTCTAGTGACAGGCATGCAAACTTCATTCGAAACCAAAAAAAAGATCCCGCTGATTTTCGACCAGATATCCTACATCAAGTAGCTATTTCATTTAATTTTAGAAAATGGCCTTTTTTTGGTTTGTCCTCTACTGCTAATGTTGGATAAATGTTGCTTATTTTCTAAATTTTTTTGTTTACATACATTATAATATTAGTAAATGAATCAAAATCTGACTATAGCTTGTGTCAGTGCACTTTGTTAATTTGTTTTTCCAAGTACTTTGTGTGGTTATAAAGATGTTTTGGTACTTCGAAACCTAGAGTACTGAAATGTTTAAGATTTGCCACGAATTAAATCAAAAAACATGTAAAACTACCAACATTTAACATTCAACAGTTCTTAACCACAATTTCAAGTCTACTGTTTGCAGTGTCTTCTTATGCTTCTTGATAGTCCGTTAAATCGAGCGGATTTATTGCAAATTTATGTGCATACTGTCAACAACATATTAATTGAAGTGAACCCTCAGATTCGTATCCCAAGGACATTCGATCGATTTTGTGGTTTGATGGGTTCATTTTATATTTTTTTTTCATTGCCATCTTACCATCCAAATCCATATTTTATATGCTGTGTTGCTATCGTACGGTTATGAGTAAATCGGCCTCATGAGATTGCATTCTAGTCTAATCTGATAATTTTTAATTCAGCGCACTCGAATTGAGTACTGATTTATTTCCTCTTCGATCAATTTATCAAATTGGCACCGAATGATTGAACTTTTTAGTGCAGTTGCTACATAAATTGTCGATACGTGCAGCCGATAGTTCAGTGAAATTGCTGAAAGTGATTAGGAATCCAGTAAGCATCCATTTACCGACTGGTTGTCGGAAAGTACTGACATCATATCAAGCGTCAGAATACATGAGTTTTAGGCAATTTGCCGAAAGCACTAGTAATAAGCCCATCGCAGTCGTCATTGGTGGGTTTGCGAAAGGAAAGGTGAGCAAATTTGTTATTTTGTTTTCTCTGACTAGCAGTTTTTCTTATTCGACATCAAATCAGCTGACATCATTTGCCTTATCATTACTGCAAGTTGTTAATGAAATAATTTATCTTACATCAGAGAGGTGCTTATAGGCTGCTGTGGATTATACCGAGGAAGAGGTGAAACTAAGCAATTTTCCATTAAGCGCTGCGTTGACGTGTTCTAAACTGACATCCAGTTTCGAAGAAATATGGAAAGTTGAAGAAGAAAATTAATAATAGGTCACTATTAACAAATAACTTTGTTAGGAGATTTCTATTGGTCTGCTGTTGGTTTTGGATTTGTGAAAATTGCAAGTAAGATAAGTCTGGTAGTTCTTCAATTTCTCTTCCACTTTGGATGTTGTGAAAGGTTTTTTAGAAGTGATGCGTAAGTTAAAATTTAATAAAGGTCGATTTACGCACGTGGAATACGATGAAATAAAACAAGTAGCGAAGTTTATGATCAGTTTGTTAATAATATAGTAAAGATAAATGAAAAAGGTTCAAATATTCGAAATGCAAAAGAACTAACGATGATGAAGAGAGGCGAAGGAAAAATTTTGATCTAACTTTTTTTTATGACTCCTTATACAAGGAGCTCGTTTACATACATGAACAATTGCATCAAGATGTTTACAATCTTCCTATAGCTGCATCTAAGGTCTTTGTAAATCGGCACCTGCGCATCAGTTTTTTACAATAATTAAACCACGCGAATTATCAGATGGCAAGATGAGAATTAGATAAATGACTCATCACTTTCGGTATAAAAAACATTTTATTTTTTTTTGTGTGTGGTGTGACAAATAGGCACCAAATGCTTTGGTCATTTTGATATAAAATTTCTTGGTTTCCCGATATTGAGGTTGATTATTTTCATATCCTTACTCAATCTTTTGGAGGAATATGAGATTTTGATTCACACAACTTGGTCTAAATAATGAAGTCTGGTCGTGAATTTCCTTTGTTAAAAATTTTTTTCGAAATCAGTGGAAAGGAGACATTTTTCTGATTATTCTTACAATCTGCTGGAAGTTCAAGTACAGTTTGAGTATTGTTTTGCTTATGAGGTGCTTCTGAATTGTAATTATGTCAAGATGAATTGTTCTGTTACATATAGCAATAATACACTTTCGGTTCTGTAGAAAGGGAGTATAGTTGCAGCAGAAAAATTCGTTTTTTCAAAGTGCAAATGTACTACTTATGATAACAGTTAGAGTTACATTTTCTTAAAAAGTACAGATTGTGTATTTTTTAATTTTTACTTGAAAATTACGAATTAAGAATGTGCCTTTCTTCAGGCATATGGATTTTTCTGCTGGGATAAAAAACATTTGAAAAATGTTACCAATCAGATTATACTTCTTACCGATGAATATCAGCTAATGGGCAGTTATTGTTAAGAAGGAAAATTGCCTGAATTGTTTATATGCAGTGCATATGTCCTCATTTCTAAATTTATTTGGTTCGGATAAGGTTCTGTTTTGAGATGATGGTGGTTGGTTTTCTTGTGTAATTGAATTCGCTGTAATAAGATGAGCTTAAACAAATCTTCACTTAAAGTTGGCATAAGTACTACTGTAAGAAATTTCTTTCCTTGAAAATTAAATAAAGTGCAAAGGTCAAATAAGTAATGACAAAAACGAAATAGCAACATGTAATAATTGCCAGAGATAGCCGTTTTCGTATTCCCAGAGCTGTAGTTGTTTGCTGCTGTACTAGAGCACGTTTAGCCGATGTGTCATGGAAAGCTATTAACCGTCTCATCAGTGGCAATGACTTCACGATATCCATACCTGCAAGAAATCTCATTTTAACTTATTTGCTACCATCTCACATAATGTACTATATACCTTTAAATTGTCTTTAAAAAATGAAATAAATTTAACATTGTATTCAGCGAAATCAGTGAACCTACCATCCACGATGATGCTAATGAACTGGCCATTGCTAATATCGAGTAGTTGAGTGTGATATGTTGGTGTCATTAGGTCTACCAATAAAATGCAAACAACATGTAAAAAGGTAATGCATATCCACAGATCTTCCAGGGTTAAAATGCTTCCTGTTTTGCGGATTGATTGCTAAATGAAAATGAATTTGAACTTATAAGAGCTGAATGAGGTGAAACTGAAACTGATTACGAGTGAGCAAGGTGTTGAGGAAGTAACGAGACACCAGAACTGAATTGAGAAGTTTTTACAACAACTGCTTAGCATAGTACTGCGTATTTCATCAAAAATCCAACTTAACAAAAAGTCAACACTTTCGTCGACACTTCCAATATTTATACAAGTTCTCTGTAAAAGACATTTCAGTTAAATTACCATGAAAATAATGCACATTAAAGCAGACACAGTAACCAATGTGTGAACTTTACGACACCTGCACTGCGCAAAAATAGCAACACAAAAAATGACTGTAGAAGGCAATATGCTACCAACCATGGATGAGAACCACAATTGTGGATAACTCGCAATGACTCTGATTTCTTTTGTTGTTTCTAAAACCTTGAAATATTTTGCAAAAGTGAAGAATACAGCTAAAAATGTCACCTCCTATAAAAAATAATTCCTTGATACTTTAGTTTACTGACTTTTTGGATCTAATTGTGAATGTATGGAGTTAATTCATTTTTGAGTAAATTTTGAAAGTAGTTTTCAATCTGAAAAGACTAGTATCACTCTCGCATTACTCTCAATCTCCATTGTACAAGAATCAAATGTTTGATTGGTAATTGGTTGTGTCAGTTTTAGATTAAATAACTTGATAAATATATCTTTTACGAATGGTATCGCTATCATTTTGACTTCCAAAAACTCACCAACATTGACCGAAACTTTCGAGATTTCCTCTGCATTACGCAGATCTTGGAAATCACGTAGAAAAATACGCTCATCTGAAGATGAAAGATCAATAAATTTGGAAGATAAAAAAGACAGTCAAATTTGCTATCAACTTTGTTTGCAATCTTTATTCCCCTTCTAAAGTAATGCACGTGAATTTTAAGAACCAGTTGAAGACCTCCAATATTTGATACAACAATCTCACACTGGAACAGCTCGAAAGGATGCCGCCAAGTTTCAGATGAACAAAGGAGCTCGACAGAGTACCTGAAACGAAGGTCAAAAATCGACGAGAAATGTGAAGTGGAAAATTGAACGCTGAAAGTGTTTACACATTTCAATGCTTATGTCATTAATCGATTCGAATGATTTGTATTGTTGGATTTGATTGCAAAGCAAGCGCAAAATGCATTCATTTGGAACTATTAGACCCTATCGAACACTCAATTTCCACTTTATCATTACACGAAATTATCCCTCTGCAATTATGCATACTTTTATTTTCAGTTCACACTTCAATTATAAACAAATTATGAACCGGTAAAATGCATCGACCATGCCAATCAACGGATCCAAATACACAGCGACATTAACCGGAACATTGGGACGCGTTGTAATTTCCGGAAGCCATGGATGATATTCCGCTGGCATTCGGAATCGGTTTTTCAATTTACGGATAGCGAGCCTATCATCGGTAAATGTAACAGCGAATATTATTTCCATATGAACCTTGTTCTATAGAGAATAGAATCTAATTTAGGAATGAAAATGTATTTAAATAATTTCCTCCCCTCTTCTTTATTTGTTATCGCTATTTCTTTTTAGCTATTACTATTTAGTCCCTATAGCAATACTTTATGGTTTGTTCCTCATTAGAACCTCAAAGAAAGCAAAGTACCACCTGAGTATCCTAATACAGAACTCATGCAGTATCTTTTCATCCTTCATCTGATTTTAATGGTTTTGAGATTTTAAAAGGTATATTACATGATGCAGTTTAGTTGAAATGATTTTAAGATCGCAATTAAGAGCAAAAAATGTCCCATTGCCATTAGTGACACGATTGTTTCGTTCCTGTGGTCTAACTGATGCATAATAATACTTGTATTTTTGAACCAATTCGCTGTGTTCTTCTGCTGTCAGTCTGGTAATTTTCAAAATAAAAAATAATGCTAGTAATAAGGAATTGAAACATTCTGACTTCAACTCCCATATCTTTGACATCTAGTTTTCAAAATTTTCTGCAACTATGTAATATTTCAAAATTGCAAGACCCTTTAATAGCATTCAAAGATTTCTTTCTACAATTGTACAGGTTTTTACCATTGCTCAGAGCTTTGATAAAAGTCTGTTACAGTAATTAAAATTCACTGCATTTTTGTGAGAAAATAATTTCGATCTTACCCGTAAGTAGCGTGTAGAAAAATAAGCGTTAAAAGATAGCTACAATCCATCGCATTAGTAAAACATCTTTTATGAATCATTTTTTATTATTGTCAGGGAAAAATATAGAGCAGAACTGATCCACCAACTGGAATTGGCAAAAATTACAGGGAATACAAAAACAAGAAGGATTGCAGGACAATTAATTGTCTCCGTCGTCAGACAGAAAAGGATGGGGAAGAAAAGAAATGGAAAGAGAAAGAGAGAGAAGGGAAAAGAAGCAGGGAGAAATGGTATTTTTGAAAAGTTAGAACCTACTAGAAATGCCATGATGCGAAACCTGATTCTATGGACTTCTCCACATATTGTAACCTAGCATTGGACAAAAATGTGACTCTTCAGCCTCACTTATGCTTTGCTAACTTAAATAAATGGATAAAATCGGGTAAATCCAGCAAAGCAAAGGAATGAAGTAGGTAAGAGCACCAGTCAACTTCCAATAGAGAAAGCATTCAGTTCAGAATGCTACTATTATCTGGAACGATGAGAGAGATTGGAGGATAATTAATTCTGCAATTACTTTCATTGTCAACTACGCTAATTTCAACAATTTCTCTTACAAAATTGCAAAATATCACCTTGATTTCTTGAGACCATCAGGCTACCGTTCCCCACAAAACTTTTTTTCAATTTTCTGCTTCATTTTTACTTCCTCAGTTTTTCAATTTCGAATTGTAGCATGTTTAACTCGAGCTTATCCACATCTTTTGAATAATCATTAATCCACGATTTAATTACTCATTAACAGGATGCAAGAATAAAAAAAAAAGTTCCTCAAACAAATAAAGGAATTAATAATTTAAATGACTTGTGGATCCATTTCGATCATCTTAAACTTCCACATGAGATGAAGTTACGGAATCCATTTGCTTTGATAAGGCAACACCACAATTTTAATTGAAATTCCGCGTTCAGAAATATACAATTCAATTCACAGGATATTGAAATTAGCTCTTCATGATAAAATTAAACAATGCTCATTAGGATTGACAAAGTACGACATAATTCACTCACAAAAAAATGTCACGGAACTTTGGAAAGATGCATACTAGCAAGTATTCTATAAGATCCAAACTGATAGTTTTATCAATATTTTCTTCATTTAAATGTTTGTTTTTCCCTACGTGACATTCTATTTGAAATAAGTTTTCATCAAGTTTTTAATACAAGTAAAATGTCTCGTATATTTCATATCGCAAGATCTCATTCTTCCATACATCTTACATGCAGAGGATAATAACAGTTAACATAGACCAGTGTCGCAGTGATAGATCTTGACGACAAATGAATGTATTCAAAATGTCCAGTCAACTATATTTATTATCTAATATCTTTTATAAGTATTCCTTAATTTGTACCGGACATCAAGAGTGCCTTAACCCATAAAGTAATTTCATGGCATGGGAGAAATCACGGGTAAAAGCGTTAGCATTTCATGCACCAAAACAAACAGTGGATGAAATATAAAGATAAACTGCAAGTGTGAAGTGTATTTAAAACAAATTAGATTCGATTATTTAACAAATTCAGTTGAAGGAGATTTTCGTTAAAATGGCCACATGGGCTAAAATATGAGGAAGTCATTTTTAATTCTCCTTGCAAACTGTCAAAAAAGTTCAGATGTACCACTGGTCGTAGCACTAAAAGTTTTTCGGGAAGTTTGAAACCATTACTTTCCATGTTTCAAAGTTTCTAATACTTTAATACACCATCAAATGTCAGTGGATCTGAAAATATTCTAGTAAATAAAGGTCTGGAAATATTTTTGATGATCAAAAACAGTGTAACTGAATTTAATTAATGCTTTTATACATCACGATTTAATAATTAATGATTTCTCTTTTCAATTGAATTGTGCTTAAATTGAAAAGCTTTTCATGAGCAACAAAATAGATTGAAATGAACTAAAACTTCTGTTTGAAATCCTAAAAAATGTCACCAAGCAGTAGCATCAATAGCACTAACTACAAGTCATGATCAATATGCCAGTTTCATCTCTTTAATTTTGTTTACACTTTGAGTGTATTGTTACCACTATGAGGAAAAATCAACACACAGCAAAACTTATTGAAATAAAGTCGAATTGTGTCCTTCAAATTGCATCTCAAATTGCATCTTTTCGTGCAGAGAAATGAAAATTTTCAGTGTAAGTTCCTAACAGACAAGCAGGTATGATAGCTTTGTGAGGGCCAAGTTTCAATAGATAAATAAATAATAAAATTAGATGTTTGCAAATTATTGAGAAGTTCGCAAACCTTGAAAAATTGGCAACAGCGGCAATTGCGAACACTGTTTCAATGATTACTAGAAATGCTTCCACACAAACGACGACAAATTCGATGAACAGAACATAGCTTTGAAATAAGGCCCAGTAAACACAAAGTGTTAATGTAAGTGCATTGAGAAGAAGAGCGAATGATAAATAGCCACTAGTTTCAGTAAGATTCCCTTTCCGGGCTAGAAGAAATTTAAGATGTGATGAAAGTAGAATAAAACAACGTTTCCAGCGCAAACGATAAACATTTTTTCCAAATGGCAAATCAAAATATTTCATAATTTACCTCTTTGTTTTGCATATTTCCACTAGAAATTTTCAAAAGTTCATAAAGTATAATATCAAAATTATAACTTTTTAATGATGTTTAGTTTTTAGTTGGAAGAAAGACCTGTAATGGTATTAACAAGGTTGATGAATTGGGTAAGTCTTTTCCGGAAGGATGAGAACGCCTGAGCGTCCTTTGCATATGATATTGCTATAAAGAGAATAATTAGTTCCCTATAGATTCTAATCATTTTATAACATTGATCTTTGTAAACGGAAGAAAAATGTACCCCAATATAAACGCATTGCTTCGTTTGGAATGAAAAGAATAATTAGCAGAAGTTCGCAAATTTTGGCATTTGTCGCGTATGGTAGTATTGACACTGAAATTTAATATTCTTTTTCATTTCAATGTGCAGATATAATGACGAGATGAAAAGGGAACTATGGCAGACAGAAATTCCAAATTCCACCGAAATTTGACAGTAATTGAAGTTTTGGAGTTAACCAAGACCATTATATTGGAATTTGTGTTAAATTTTTTTGACTGGCTCTTTAGGATAAATCAGATTGTGGGAAAAAAAATTATATTTGGCTTCATATATCTAAAGCAATCTTTCCGAAAACTCGATTTCAGACAAAACTCGAGAATCGATTAAACTGGAAAATAATTACAAGAGACTGGAAGGGGAAATTTTACCTAAATGAAATGCAGCAAGAATGTGCTGGACAAGAAGTAATAATCAACTTTTTAACCACTTTTGTATTTTTCTCTTCCTATGATATCACTTATATGTTTGTTAAACTAACAATTACCAAAGTAATTTTTAGCTGATCCGATCAAAAGCGAAGGAAATATAGCATTCTCAAGGTGCATTAAGCAATTTTTGTTTACTTGGCAGAATTTTAGCATTTCATAGCACATGTAAGAGTAAAAAAAAGAAACAAACTATTTCAATTACCTTTGAAGAAATATAAAAGTAGAAGAACTGCGACGAAAATGAATGATACTGGACGATTAAGGCACAATGTAAGTTGCAGTGGAAGCGATGATCGCTAAAGAAAATACTGTATTTTAGTAAGGAAAATATATTCCTCATTATGCATATCTACTACCACTTATGTATTACAACAAACTAAAACATAGAAGTGATAGCAAATCCCTCAATGATTTAGCACAATTTTAAACAATTTCTTGATTTCATGAAAAAAAATGAGATAGTAATGTAAAGATCCTGAAGAGCTGAAGTCTAGAATTTAAAAGATAAATTGAGAGAGATCAATCACTATTTAAGTACTTACCACATTCGAATTAATCATCTATTCTCAAATGGCACTGTCACAAAGCAATTAGAATCAACTGGAATTGCTTGGCCAAAATGCAGGGAACGACTTTGTTGCCTGGGGCAACATCCAAGCGCTGGGACATATACTTGCAATGCTATGCAGAATTATTATTTTAAATCATTATAAGTCACTGATTTTTCTGATAGATAATGCAAGCAAGATAGAAGTATAAAATATGAAAAGAGCATTCAACACTCGTTGAATCCCATCTGAAATACTCATCTGAAGTACATTACTTGCAACGAAGTGTGATATATCTCATGTAAAGTTACTTTAAGAATTTTTAGTTACACTATGAACTAAAAATGAATTTGGGATTTATACACGCTGTGATAGATTTCGACAGAAAGGTAATATCGAAAAGAGCATGTTTTCATAGCTTACATCATTCACCTAAACGCTGCAGATCATCAAGGTGGGAACAAAAAGTGGAGACAATTGAAAACATCGCTGAATAAATCAACACGAAAGCTGGACAGTTTTGACAATGCTGGTCATAAAAGCAAATGACAGCATTTCACATTTGATTTTAAATATACGATCTTGGCAAACCTCTGGAAGCAAAGCCATTTTATGGATCTGACATTTTTCTGTAGTCGGTTGTTTTATTTTATAATTTGAAATTAATCATTAGTCTGCTTTAGTATAAAGCGGGTTCTTTTCAAAAGTTCATTAAATGGCTTTTTTGACCTCTTTCCTTTTTTCTTCTGTCTCACCTTTTAGAAGTGTATTACAAAATTGAGAAGTATGACCATATAAGGCTCCCAAACTACTGCAAGTAAACAGCAGATGGAATATGTCATTTTCAGTTGTATTGGGCACAAATCTTCACGAATTGCTATGAACAAAAATCTTTTCAGAATTCAGAATGAAGATGCGACTTCCACCGATAATTTCTTTAACGGTGTAAATTTTCAAAATTCTATATTGTTTTAAATTTTAATTTTTCTGCAAATCATTTGAAGAATTCATTAAAGGAAAAAATGAAAAAATATGCGAAGTTACCGTATCATAACGAAAAAGAAGTCACTTTCTGTTAGATTCTAAAGATGTAGAAAATATGAAATCCATTAAATTTGTTCGCTGATAGTTTTTCAAGTTTTCTTGAAATCCTTTAAAGTTCAGAAAAGTAAATAAAACCCAAAATGTTCGATACCGCAATTCAAGCTTCAAGACACTTGAGCTGCTTATCAAATCTTCTTTACAAAGAGATTTCTACACTGCTGTAGGTCATTTGTGGAGTTTCAGTTGCCAAAGAAGAAATCAAAAAAGGCATTAGTAAAGTAAATAACCAAATATTTGTTTGAAGCAGTTTGGCTTATTTGCATCTCAGTGTTTCTCCCTCTTACCAAATGAATTTTCACAAATCACAGTTTCAGTGCACTATTGACAGATCATTTCAGGACAAAACACTTTCTAAAACGTGTTTATACTATTTCAAGTGACAATCGCAAGCTAATAACCAACAATGGTATGATAACACTGATAATAGATCTTACATGGAATAGCAATAACAAGGACAATCCATTATGAAATCTTTACAATGATGATAACAACTAATCGTGGTATCTCAATGATCATTATTGGAATAATAATAATAATCGATTATCATCGAATCCTGATTGGGATAAGAATGAAACAATGCTTGATGGGATGATAAGAACCGAAATCGCTCGGTCGGGATTTTTGGAATAACTATAATAATGGCTGGGAGCGCAAGATTAATGGCAATAATCCGGGGTGAGATTGTTGGAGCCAAAATAACTGGGATAAATGGAACTGAAACAACAATAATAATAACCCGAGTTGGAGACCGTGGAATCAATTCTGGCTGGAACCGCTGGAGCGACAACCATGGCCATCACATTCGACCTAGTGCAAACAAGGGTCCATATTTTGTCTGTGACTACAAATTCATTAGTGGCCCTAATGAAAACGACGAAGGTAATAATAGGCTTGATTACAATCACTTTCACAGTAACGAACAATATAATAACCGTAAAAATGAGGCCAACAATCTGCCAGTGAAAAAGTCATCCAAAGAAATGAGTTTGTTGATAAGACGATAGTATTTCTTACAAATTCTTCGTGCTTCTAACCGTTCCAAAAACTACAAATAATTGAATATGGAATTTTATATAATTCGAGTAACCTATTTTGTTGACCAAATAATGAAATGTTCTACCTTGGTTCCTTCATAACTACAAATAAAAACAAAAAAACTTCGTAACAGTTTCACCTCCTCTATTTACCGGCTAGCAGGATTCTTCGGTAAGAGTTTAGGGAAGGAAAAAGATAAAGATGGATCTAGCAAGAATACTGGCTGTCCAGAAGGATATAGATTTCGATTTAAAAATAAATCATTTCTTTTAAAGACTAACTTACACTTCATAGACATGAACTGGTTGGAATTCAATATCCAATATTTATCTGAAAGTCGAAATTTAGAAATGAAATGATGAAGAATGTTGCACAAGAATATCAGTTATAAATCAGAAAGTTTCAAGAAATCAGGTTGAAAAAATGAAACTTTAAAACTGGTCAACATTTGATGATTACGTTGTCAACATCCATATTCAGCTTGATGAAAGTGAAAATTTTAAACTTTACCACTGCTTACGAAAATCTAATTTGTATATTCTGAAAAATTGATAATACTTGAGTTGGATTACTCAGAGGGCTAATTTTGTACAAATATGATGTCATCCTAAGAGATGACATCATATTGGTGTAATGGATGACGAGGCAATATTGATGCGCCAAGAAATAAATGGATCATAATGGTATAATGGCATTATTATTCGTACGTTTTTATATCATCCCAATGGCATTTATTTAATACATTGTCTACAGCAAAAAGTGCTTAACATTTGTCCTTTAGCATTTTTTGTCCTGCCTTTGGTAATGTTCAGCATACAGTATCAGTCATTCGAGAAGTCTTTCTTGTGCTTGCGAAGCAAAATTTCTTTTCACAGATTTCTTCTCTATGCTGAACGGGTAAAATTTTCCATTGAAATAATGAAGCGTCAATGGTGGTGAATATCGTAAATTAAAGTGTTTTCTATTAACAAAGTGCTATAGCTTTATGTAAGGACACAGGACAAAATGCGATACATTTCAGCGAGATGTTATGAGCGAAGCTTTTAGAAGAACGTTTTGGCCATTATTCATCTTACTAGTCAATATTGATTGTTCCGGAGAGCTTGGCTTATTACATACTGAATGAATGCAGCATGTAAATACAATGGGATTGTAGAAATGCTTTTAATTTTCAATTCGCTTGAATTGTTGCGAAAATTTATTCCCAAATCGATGTGATTTCTTTAATTCACTATAAAAAACATCATCTCGAAATTTCGTTAAAAAACTGATTAAGAATTCAAAAAAGAAAAGAATCTGCGGGACCACAACCACTTGGTCAATATTTTGGAAATGAAATTCAAGCTTATCTTTGCTATATTCAAATTGAACTATATCCCACGTACGTTCATGCGTCTCAGATATAACATTGGTGTATCCAAGAACCAAACGACAAATATTTACTCTTATTGTCGAACGTTATCGCCTATTTTACGTTTAGAACCACTGTAGCTCTACCGAGCTACTTTCTAAAATTTCATCTTAGAAATAGACGACAAGGAGAGAAGACAAGGGAGGACAACCCAGACATACACATACCAACAACGGAACCTTCGCCGCCACCACCCAATCAAACAAACGATACGATCCGAAAGCAGACATACGCGATACTTCGATTTGTTGATCTTTCTGCTACCTGCCAACTCAGTTCTCACTCCAGATTTCTAGTAATTTCAATTTAACAAATCTTTTTCTGTCATTGTTGCCGTTACTTTTATACATAACAAAAAGATATCTCTAAAATGTGATTTCAAAAACATCAAATTATCCGTATAACCTTTGAATCCTAATAATTTATTGAAAAAAAAAAATGCAATACATCCTCATTGGTCACTATTCTTAATTTCTTCTACTCATTTTACGTAATCTGTATGTGATACGTTTGATCAGTTTATGCTTATCTTTGTCCAAAACTGTCTCCAAATTTCCTTCAATCTTTTATCTAACAAATACATTATTTCACTTATCATCTACATTCACATCGGGTTTCTTCACTACTTCATGTAAAGTAGATTCGTTTTGCGTGAGTGATGAATATGCAGATATATGTGTTTTTGATTAGGTCTAAAGCTGTTGCTTTGCAGGTTAAGAGTCTTGCACTTCACCCTTAAGTTCTGTGACACTGTTTTATGTGACAGTTGTCTGACGTGTAACATTGAAACAGTCACAAAGTTTATTCCGCAAATTCTTGTCGCTTAATTGTCAGCCAATCGAATCTTTTAATTTTTGTTGCATTTTTAGCAAATTTTCATCGTTTGCTTTTTTTCCCTGCTATTTCTCTGATTTCCATTCATTTATCATTGATAATCAATATGAAATAGCAAAGAAACGTTGGAGGTACAAGTGTTAATTGTTGTATTGCAATGAGTTGTCAAGAGTGTTGAAAGTGATATCTATTAAAAGCGCTCAGGCTACCACTCCCGCTTCTTTCATCCACCATTTGAATTAACTTCCCACAACGGAATAAAACTTGGTTTAACAACGCTATACACTTTTCATCTTGTAATGGATAATGAGTTTTTTCATATAATAGTAATGACCTTTCTCGTTATTTCAACTCTTCTCTCCCTCTCTCTCTCTCTCTCTCTCTATTAT